GAAAAAAAAAAAAAAAATAAGCCCCCCCTCCCAAAAAACCCCAACAAAAAACAAACAACAAAACAAAACACATTAAACCACGTTAGAGCGATGTTAGACCTACACCTTTAGAGGTGCAAATTGGTCGTCATCAACAAAAAGTAGAGATTTAGCACCTTTAGAAGTTATGTGATTCACCCACCATCCAAAATGGGTGCTAATAACCTACAACGTTCCATTCTGTTAAATTATGGGGGGTTGGATGGCTGAATGGTTAGCGTGCGCGCTGTATCATAAAGTCTGTCATTGAGTCGACTGGCGTGGTTTCGAATCCCCGGTTGTACGTGGCAAGGAGTAGGGTCGCCTGTCCAACCTCGTGGGTTTTCTCCGGGGCCTCCGGTTTCCTCCCACTGCTAAAGACCCCTACGCGCAAGCGAATTATGTAAATAAAATTAAACCATATGTTAGTCCCGAAATGACCTAGTTTGTGTCGAGTGGACGTTAAACCCCATTTCTCTCTCTCTCTCTCTCTCTCTGTTAAATTATAATTTAGTTAATGAAATTTATAAAATTATTCCTCCAATGGCATGCGATTCATATTTTTACAGGTTTACATGGCCCAAGCCCCGGATCTCATACGTTTGCCTGTAGCTTTAATAAGTAATTTATTTCGGATGACTCCGGCTCATTTTAATGCAATAGTAATAGAAATAAATAACAAATTGAAAAGCTGGGATTTTTCTTATTAACCTAGATATGTCAAAATGTGACGCCATTATCAAATAACCCAATAGCCCGGATTACTTATTTAGTTCTAATAGTGAATAATCAATTAAAAATCACAATAGGTGTCTAATGAAAGTCAGCCTATATCCAACACAACTTTCATAATTAGTCATTACTTAGTACAGGAATCGTATTAACGTGGTTTAGTGATAATCAAGCGTCAGAGGAGATTGGAATTATGACCCACAATCGCTATTCACGTAAAATAGGACACTGGTATCGGGTCAAACCACATAATAGTATTTGTATCAGTTGATTTGTATATGTTTTGTCTTCCGGTGGTCATTTTTGCTATCAACTGTTTCCTCAAGAGATACTCAGATTTCATGGTCGATAATTATTTTGAAGCACGATCTCAAAGCACCTTTTTTTTTTCTTTTTTTTTTTAAAAATCACTATCTCCAATATTTGAAATATCAAAAAGGTGACAAGTTTTTTTTAAGAGAATCTCCTTGTAATTGTTTATATAATAGGAAGTCTATCATTTAATTATTGACATCATCGCTGTCAACTACTTGACCCCTTTAATCCTTTTCTACGTCATCATTATTATGTGTTTCTAAATTTTAAATCCTGTTACGATACATGATCTTCCATTGACTAACGTCATACATATCATATGTATGAATGAACAGATTAAACGTTCGTGAACACATTGTACCACTGTGGTAATAAACGAAGCTATCATTGAAACGTAATTAAGATTTCTATAAGCTTTCCGATTTCTTGATAAATCGACGACTTAATGTTTAATGGCTGAGCAAAATATGTTTTGATGATAGAATTGATGGATTATTATATGTTTGGATGAATGGAATGGAATGGGTAGTTCGAAATGTTTGGATGAATTGATTAATGGATGGTTTGAAAAGTGTTTAGATAATATGTGTGGTTTGAAATAAGTTTGCGTTTCTGTATGGTGAGAGAAATCATACAAAAATATGAATGGTTAAATAAATATATCTTGGCCTGGAGTATAAATAGACGCTTCAAAATATTATTGATTGGATTAGTGACTGGTTGTATAATACATGTGTAAATGATCTAAAATATGGTTCGCTAAATGACTGGTTTGGGTCTGTGCTTAAAACAAATAGTTGGTCAGTTGAAATGATGAATGTGTGGGTTGTGTTTGTACTAATTTTGGTATGGATAGGTTAAAGATACATTATGGGAGATTAGATAAAGAGCTGGCAGTTCTCACTAAAGTGTAATAGTTAAACACTTGATACTGTAAAGGAATTTGCTGAAAATTTCAGTAAAATTGATCCACTATGAACTGAGATTTTAGCGATTGAATTTTCGGCCTAGCCTCGATCATCATTACTAAAGTCGGTAGGATAAAAACATAGTCTCGATTATCCATTTCATGATTTAATTATGAAGTCGAACAGCAAATCGGAACCTAATCCAATAAACATCGCACCCTAGCAATGCCATCGAGAGTTGATTATGGTCTGGATCAGTTGATTAATGTTTAATTATTAATTTAGATAACATTTCAGGCCTAAAGGAAGACCTGCAATAGGCAGATTTAGCTCTTGCATGAGGAGACGGCTATTCTATCAGCAAAAAATGTCATGACTAATTAATGTAATGGAATAGAGTATTGGTTATTATATATTGTAATTATTTTATCTAAATAACCTAAATAAATCACTTCTATATATTATTATTGCGCAATATTACAAAATAAGTGAATGGAGAGAGAGAGAGAGAGAGAGAGAGAGAGAGAGAGAGAGAGAGAGAGAGAGAGAGATGGGGTTTAACGTCCACTCGACACAAACTAGGTCATTTCGGGACTAACATATGGTTTAATTTTATTTCAATAATTCGCTTGTGCATAGGGTTCTTTAGCAGTGGGAGGAAACCGGAGGACCCGGAGAAAACCCACGAGGTTGGACAGGCGACCCTACTCCTTGTCACGTACAACCGGGGATTCGAAACCACGCCAGTCGACTCAATGACAGACTTTATGATACAGCGCGCGCACGCTAACCATTCAGCCCCCCCCCCCCATAAGTGAATGGTGCATGGTAGATATACTATTCAAAAAAAGTAGGGGATATTTGATTTTGGGGGCATAATACTAAAATATGCAAATGACTACGAAAAAAGTCACTATAGAACCTAACAGAAGAAACATTTCCAGTTACATGTGACGCCAAAACGCACCAATAGCTACCGCATGGAATGCAGGTGATGCTTGGGATCATCATGGGGGTCCAACCCAAGATTTGCACGACTCTGACTTTGAATGTTACAGTCATTGTGGCATTGAATTCCAGGGTGGAAACATCAGTTTAATTGTTTTAGTGACCAGAAAACAAATTTTGCTATGCGTCGGCTTACCCAAAATGAAAGGTTACGTGCCCTTGGCATGCTACAGATCGGCACAACACAGGCGGTTGTGGCGCGGACGATGAATGTTTCTCAGTCTGTCATAAGCAGGCTATGGTCCAGATACCGTGATACACAATCTGTACAGGACAGACCACGCTCAGGTCGACCAAGGGCGACAACTCAAGCCCAGGATCGATTTATCCGTACCTTGGCCTTGAGAAATCGTGTCATCACAGCAAATCAGATCAGCGCTCGTCTTCAAACAGACACTGGTGTGAGAGTGAGTGGCCAGACGATTCGGAATCGACTGCATAGGGGTCACCTTCGCGCCCGACGTCCTCGCGTGATCCCTTGTTTTAGATATCATCGCATCCAGGCTAGACGTCGTTGGTGTAGGGATCGTCAACACTGGGATAATCGACGCTGGAGCAATGTGATGTTTTCAGATGAGTCGAGGTTCACTGTTGATTTTTTGGACAGACGTCAACAACGTCCTGCCAATGTCCAAGAACTTGCTGCTGCGTTGCAACAGGAATGGGACAATCTGGACCAAAATGACCTTAGACGTCTCATTAGGAGTATGCCACGTCGGATCAATGCTTGTTTGGCAAACAGAGGAGGATTTACCCGTTACTGACTTGGTTGTGATGCTGTGGTAACTTTGCTGTTTGACCCCGGGTATCATTTTACCCTTATAATGGTCAGTCTGTGCCTGACTTAGTCTAACGATCATTTGGAATAAATCGATGAATGTGAACTTCATTTCATTTTGTCATTTGTTTCTTCGTTAGTTTTATTAGGTGACTTTAATAACACTTAAAAATCAAATATCCCCTACTTTTTTTTGAATAGTATATATAGTTTAAAAGCCCCTTTATATTAACTAGTATCATTTATACCGTTTAAAAGCCGACTATATGCGTTTAATGGCCAAACTTTTATGACCCCGATTAACCAGTTATAAATCTGGTTAAAATTCATTACGCTACATTTTTTAATTTTACAGAAAACATGACATAGGAGTATTTTTCTGCTTTCATGTTTTGAAAAAACCCAGAAAGCTTAATTTACACTTTATAAACATTTTTGTATGTTTAATACGACTTTATGTACCTATATTTTCTTTTCATTATTTTTTGGTCGTATATGAGTATAAATTTAGAAAATTATATGACGTCATTGGACCCCTTGTTAAAATATTTACCCTACTTAAGTCCACTTTAGAAGTTAAGTATTTAAATACACGTGGTTTGTATTTACTTAGTGTAATAATATAGCTTATTAAGCATGGGGTTTTGTGTGAGAATTAACACACGAAGTACGGTACAACAAAAAGGGTGTTATTTACGCAAGCTATTCAATGACAAATGATTTAGAATTTGTTTTAGAAAGGGTATTTATACACATACTCTGTCTCAATCACGACACCCATCACGGCTTATGGTAAGCTCGGTGTGCATGAGTTAGCAGCTAAATGGTTTAAATACAAAATTTACAACAAAATGTATCAGTTTTGTGAATTTCTAATATTTAAACTATAGGGATGTTGTTTCATGTCGACGATGATGATGACGATGATGATGACCCGAAAGTCGCATATAAAGCTTATTATGCCAGGTCTCTCTTTTCAGTGTTTCATTATAAAATTACTTTAATACATCCAACATAGTTTTAATATGGTATTAATATAATTATTGATTTTATAAATAAACCTACTTGCCCGGGTTCCAAAATAGGCCTAATCTTATTCTTATCTAGACATTCTAGACTCGCCTAACAGTAGAATTACGTAACCGGGCACAATAAAATTACACGATGTAGTCACGGGTATTTAATCTAGAGAATTTTCAATTCAAACTATTTTATAAAGTATAAATGCATATAGCACCTACCTTAGTACCGCTGGATCATTAGAAATAGAAAATGTAATATAATAGCATCTGTAGACTCTTATTTCACAGGTATATAATCTTGTATCCTCTGAAGAGGGGATCCACTCAACTAAATAATGAACTACATTAATCCTTTTACATCATAAACATTGATAACACCACTAATAAAGTGATATGTCTGTATCACGCGTCTGTATCAAGTAAGAAGACCTTTTCACACGACCGCTTCTCACTTGAAATACATAATACACAGTAGAAGCTACATACAGAGAGCATTGCTAGTCAGTCAATTCGTTTCAGCCAACATTGACAATACCGGCCACCGTCAGAACAGCTCAACGCGGAAAAAAAGCCGATTAACCCGAAATCTTCGTATATTAAAGATTGTTGAAGCGATCTATGATTCAACGGGAAAGTATTTTGGGTGACAAGCCTTATATCGCTACAGGAAAATATTAAATGTAACCTAACTTTGGTCATACCTTATATAATTATTATTATAAATACCTCATTTTTCACAGTTAATATCTTTCATCTCGAACATTTATACGAACCGCCATGGATGAAGTAACTGTGAAACTTCCTTGGTAATCATATTATCTCTGGAATCAATGGAGTGTGAAAACTGAATGTGATAATATGCTTTATTAGCTGTAAATGGGATTATTCTTTGTTCATACCCAACTACCTGTATTGGATGTCAACAACATGTTTTCTCTATTAAGTACAAACATTAATGAATATCTTTCCGCTGAGAATAGCTATAGACTTGGAGTCGAGTCCTATTAGACCGGGGGCACAGTGCGGGCGGAAAATGCGTAAAACCAAGCCCAAACAACTATGACTGGTACAGGTCAACAGAAATCTTACAGTTCAGCTCATTTCATTTCACGTTCAAGTTATCAGTCAAACAGCGAAAAGGTCAATTTCTGATTTAGCCTGGATCACCTGTTGACCCCCCCCCCCCATAGGCGTACGAGCCAGGGGGGCAGGGGGGGGGGGGCAGCTGCCCCCCTCACTTTCGGGCAAGCTGACTTTTCGGGCAGACGGGTAAAGTGAAAACAAAAATTTATTTCATCTACTTGGCAAAATAAAGTGCCCGAAATCTAATAAAACACTAATTTTACGGGCTGGAATAGCAGGAAAACACGTTTGCGGCTGTCAAATATTCCAAAATTTTCTTGCGGGGTCCATACAAGGTCAGTTCCGCTTCTTCGCCTCTCGAAGAAAACCGGCGCCGCTGTCTGTAAACCCGAAATTTTTTCAGGCATTTCTAGTTTTGCTTCCCTTACTATTATCGAGCCCTAATATAACACTAATTTTACTTTTCTTTTAATTGAATGCCACGAATTTGTACAGAGTTGACTATGGATTAAAAAATGTTGCCTGGAGTCACTCTACTTTGTGCGACATTTTTCGGGCATCGATTATTATTTGTGAATGCAGCTGCAACAGTCTGATTGGATGGTTGGAATTCAGAGTGGGATTTCGGTTACAAAACCATTGGATACTTTTGGAGTTTACACGTGCTAGAATAGCAGAAAACGCATTTGCGGACGTTCAATTTTCAAAATGTTCTCCGGGAGGGTATACCCCCGAACCCAGCGACGATTGATTGGTTGTTTGGAATTCCGGTCGGCCAGGTAGGCTATATTGGACCAAATTGAAGTTGCTGTATTCACAGGCTGGAATAGCAGGAAAACGCGTTTGTGGTAGTTAAATTTTCAAAATTTTCTCCCAACGGTCCCGTCTTCGTGGACTGTAAACGATTGATTGGAATTCTAGTCAGCCACCTGAGGGGGGGGGGCATGGTTAGCTCCGCTCTCTTCGCCTCTCAAGGAAGACCGGCGCTCTCTGTAAACCCGAAATTTTTTTCGGGCATACCGCGTTCTCCCCCCCCCCCCCGCCCCAGCTGTCATCGAGCCCGTACGCCTATGCCCCCCCCCCCACACACACACACCATTATTTACTGAATGAGAGGTTGGGTCTGAACCTGCGTTATACTGTTTCATTCCTTGTGCATGTAGTGTTTGATCCAAATCGTCTAGATTCTAAAATGGTGGAAATAACGGATTTTACACCAAAGAATTTCCCAGAAATATGTTTAATTTGATTACGGTCAGGGCTACTGGCTGGCAAAGTTACAGTAGCAACAGCAACTTGACGCACAAAATCCACAACGGTGTCGTCCATAAAGATTGGCCTTGTGAGAAGGGAGAGAGAGAGAAATGGGGTTTAACGTTCACTTGACACAAAGTAACTCATTTCGGGACTAAATGACAGACGTTATGATACAACGCGGACGCCATACCCGTGCTCTACCATTCGTCGTGAAAAAGAGAAAGCGACTCTTATGACGCCATGTTCCAATGGTGAGGTGCTCGGCACCATGCTTATGGTCACGTGACAAAAGAGATCGTCAGATAATGTCTCTTGGCGCCATATCCAACCGATTTTGTGGGATAGGGGACGGCGAGGTAACCATTCCATTTTCAAGGTTGACGTCGCACGATTTTCTTTATTGTTGCATCTTATCTCTTGATAGATGAATAAACTTTATTAAATGGAGCCTGTAGCCTATCATTGCATAGAATTTCAGTTTTGGTATGTTAAGAAGGGTAGGCGCATTTGAGTTGCATCCTTAGCAACTTAATCTAGAAAGATACTGTTTTCTGCGTGTATAAAAGTAAACGTAAATAAAACATTTGAATCTGGAATACACCCAGGCAAAATATAGTAATTGTCATAAATCTTTCGTCTATAAATAAAGATAATAAGAGGTAGTTAAGCTTGATATATCTTTAACACTTGGTATTTGACAAAAGCTGAAGATGAAACCAATTTTCTCTTTATGGCCATGCATCGCATTTATCATCTGAGCAGACCATACTTGTTAACATATTATTTCTTTTAAAAACCCTTTTTAAGGTTTACGTTATCAAATTCTATGGCCACCTTATGTAATGTCTAACATTTCAGACTTGATGTACATGGAAACTATATATTTAACTATTTAAACAAACTTATCTAGGAAAACTATGGGTGCCGTCTTATTCTTTGGTTAGGCGTAGTAAAACATCATCAGAATTTCACACCCTAAACAATCAAATTATTTGTTATTTATTTATCGTATTTGTTATTTATTTATCGTATTTGTTATTTATTTTATTTGTTATATAATTATCGCATGGTTTATGTAATAATTATACAAATATAGTAGCATTCATGTAATGGAATAAAACGAGAAACAGCCGTTGTGTGTTTTTACAAAACGCCATAAAAGTAATATGAATTGAAATTAAATATCCATTCATTAGTTAGATTCGTATTTTCACGTCTCAGTGATCAACCTGGGGCGGACTGGGAGCAGGGAGGGGGTTGTGTTCGGACCCTACATTAAGGTGGCAGGGGATTCGAGGGTGGTAAATTGTGCTTTCTAAGGTATATCCTAATGTTTCTGCTTATGCACAAATTTAGCGGTTGACAACCTTACCAATTCATTAAAAAAGGACATAATTCGTGACTAAAAATGGACCCAAAGCTAAACAAGTACGATGGTACTATATGGACCAGGAACTGACCATGTTGTTGGATGAAGTTAAAAAATCTAATTCACCAAATCGATGCATGCCAATTTTCATGTCGATCGGACTTGAACTGACGGAGTCTTAGGCTTTTTCGAAGAACGTCATCCCAAGAACAAGAAGAACAAGATGAGTAGCGGTTAGCGACCAGTTCCTGGTCCAACAAGCTGCCCAAAGCTACGTGAGAACATCAACTTATTTAGGGATCCCGAGTCTATCATACTCACGGGCTCCATCTGGGGATCAAATAATACACGAATACAGCACGCACGGGTCATCTAAAATGCTTGCAAAAGACTGTTAATACACACGATGCAAACCCAAATTGGATACATCTGAAACGAATTTATTACAAAGTATATGACAAAGCCTTACCTGTTGTATGGCAAATTATGGGCGGGTACTATTTTATCGAATTCATTTGTTTATGGTGAGTAACGTTTGGTTGTGGCCAGTCTAAAACAAGAACAATAGGCTATATCTATGGCAGATTTGAGTAGCAGAGATCCCTTAAAGGGTCCCTTAATCCAATGGTTAGGAGCGTTTTAACTATTACATAGAAAATGATTTACCAACTGATTAATATGGCCGATTTCATAGGAATTACCAGGAATCTGACAGCTTAATACTCTTAAGTATCTTTAATACCCGTGTTTATTGAATGAAGAACCAAATACATTAAAATAGTAAAATACAGAGTAAAGTGTTAATGCTAAATTATACCTTTAAGGTTATTCTTGGTGATTTCATCTCTCTATGTAGAAAGATAATGAGATGAATCTGTTCCTGTTCAGATATAGATGACAATGGTGGTGTGTAATACATATAATTAGATTGACACAGACTACTAAGTCTTATCATAATAATAATGTTACAAATCTTCTATAGAATAAAGTACGGTCGCGTCTGTGAGACCTATATATTAACAAGAATCCGAGGAAAACAGTAGAATTCCAAACACCATTTGACCATTATCTTTAAAGAGCAATTGGTGAAAGCGATATATATAATAACAGTTTTATGGATAACATTCACTAGGTTTATTAACTGCAGCGTTTCAATGAGGATACTTTCACAGTTATCAAGCATTTGACCACATTTTTCTGGTTTTCAAATTCTACAGGGCAATGATGTCGACAGTCAGTGGGTTGTCCATGTGAAGATCTATGGTAATCGATTGCTTACCCACAGTATGGTGCAACATTTTACGCGCTGCTACGCTAGGCTGCTATTCTAAACTGCAGTTTAAGCTTTTCACACTTGTCAACATAATCCTAATTTCATTTAAAGATACATTATGGGAGATTCGATAAGGAGTTGGCAGTTCTCACTATAATAGTTAAAAACTAGATAATGTAAAGGCAATTTGCTGAAATTTTCATTCAAATTGACCCACTATGAACCGAGAACAAAGCGATTGAATTTCCGCCTAGCCTTGAAGATCATTACTAAAGTCTCGATTATCCACTTAATCGTTAAATCGTGAAGGAAAGTTATGCAGTAAATCGGCTCACAATCCACTAAAGATCGCAGGCTAGCGATGTCATCTGGAGTTGATTATAGTCTGGATAGGGTTAATTAATGTCTAATTAATAATTTAGATAACAATAGACAGATTTAGCTCTTGCATAATGTATGTTTAAGGATAGACATGGTGTTTAACGTCCTACCTTTCTGAAGCAACCAGTGCCCCTATAGTCTCGGACAGCCGGGTTTACAAGCGTTACACATCGAGGACATTCGAGGTCAAGATCCATAGGGCTCGAATCTGGAACCTCCCGGTTAGTGATCCATTGCATTACTCAATGAGGCACCGTGGCCTATATTGGGCTAAAAATGGTATATTATATATTGGAATAATATTGGGAATGGTTATTGACACTTTAATTTGGCCCTTGTTTTAATCTTAAATAGCTAGTTTCAGTAAAGGATAACTCACAAAGAATTGAATTGTGAACATTTTCGCTACAGCCATTGATGGGGTCTTAAGAAGTGATAGGTATAAAGGCAAATTCTGATTAACAATAAATTTATTTATTTCAAAACTCAAAATATATTTTTCAGCTGCAAAAGTCAGTATTTTGATAATACTGATTGGTTGTTCCACTGTCTACAGAATAAGGCAAAATGAAACTAAAATTAGTCAAGAAGTCGACTTCCGCTTAATCTTTCGCAATAATCATATTGCGATTGATTCTTCACTAACAGAAACAGAATATGAACACACTCAATTCAACACCTTAGTTTGGTCCAATTCAAAGAGGTTTATATTATCGATGTATTTGTACAGGGGCGGGAATAAAATCTTTCTTCGTCTGTAACCTACCCCGACACAGACTGTACATAAAAACGGTAGAATGAATGAAAGAAAAATAGGCTAATACGTCTGGGAATCACGCGCCTTTCGAAATGATGGAGTTTTATTTGAGCGTGAATAATGTTATATTCTGTTTTAGCGTTGATACTAATTTGAAGTAAATGATGTATGTAAGTGGTAATTTTCTTTCTTCACAAAGAACAGTATATATATAGAGGGTAAAGTTAATAAAAATCGGAAACCATACGAATGTCAGCTTAAGCCCAGAGCGTGGTGGACCACTGACGCGTGAAATAGAACGGCCTATGAATATCTAGGAAGACAATTAAAATGGAGGGAAATAAATCTATTTGCAACCGTCTGCCATATTATTTTTACTCTACTAATAAACTGTATAATTGGCGCACAGTTAAAGAAACGTGACCACTTTGATTGTGTTTTTTGGGGTTTTTTTTTATTATTGAGTCGGCCTAGATCTGTTGAGTTTGGCTATTGATGGGATGGCAAATTAACCGAAAGATGGTTTTCGTGACGATTATTATATTTCCTATGGTGCTTTAAATATTAATTGTCTATGGATATCCTACAACAATTTGTTGAGATAAGTACTAACACGCTCACCACTTATTGTGCACAACACGTTTGAATTTTACGATTCGAGATATTTGGGGGGTTTTGTTTCGTGTAGACAGACCATCATTCGACAATGTCCATGTGTATTTTATTCATCTGTGTGCAGTTTGGGGATTCGGACAGCCTCAATCAGGCAAGAAAACGTATGTTTAAAGGGAGGCTACCATCATTTCAATTATCGGGAATTAGACTAGTAATTCTTTCCCCCCAATGACTTCAACGTTAATGTGTTACTTGTACGCGTATTTTTATTTTCTGTGCATATTCTTTTGAATATATAATGTCCAAATGTATACAGGGTCGGGTTTTCTCCTTTTAACTTATTGTACAGTGTTCAAAAGAAAAATACGTCGGCATTGATTGAATTATTATTTTGACCGGAAGTTTACATAGACCAGTCCATCTTCTTGTGGGGTATGTTGTCAAAACAACCATCCCGTGTATGTAGAAATTGGCACTTTTTTTTTATCAGATGTTAGTTAAAGCAATCACTTATTGTGATTTTTCAAATATTTGGGAATACTTTATTATATTCTGTAAAATAAACTTGTATGTTCAAAGTGGTGGTAGTTACTTTGCTCGCTACTATGGACGACACCATTAAAAAGTGACAACACAGCAAAAGCTAAAGCGAAAGCAGAACTGAATGGTGATGTAAAAAGGTATAATTAAAGTTTGAGACGTATACTGAAACAGCACACTTTGTGACTTAGTGAGTATTGCAAAATTGATTTTTATTACCATTATCTGCATTTAGGACAGTAATGTTTTAATTCTATCACAGCTAAAATGGTGAATGACAGTCACAAATTTTCTTTAGAAAAAATTGTTTCAATCATCATTCATATTCATCATTGTGGCAATGCTATAATTTAAAAAAATGCGTAGATTCCATAGCAAGTTCACTAAAACAGAAATATTAAACATTTTTTGTATTGGAACATAAGTTTCAAACTTCAATCAGTCCTTTTCCTGCTGAATTGGCCCACTATAATAAACATATATTAGATCATAGATGTCTACCAGTGCAGTTCAACCTAAAGTCAAAATTGGTGCTGAATTGGCTGCTCTATAATAAACATATAGAAATCTACCAGTGCAGTTCAACCTTAAGTCAATGGTGTAAAAAGGGCCCTATCGAATGCAGCAGACAGGAGTTGAAATACTTTACTAACTTGCTTAGTTTGTTGTCTTTTTTCCTAGACTGAACCCAGTGAACAGAAATCAAATCTCAGGTGTAATTTTCATAATGACTGACATCACATCACATAATATGTGTCACCTTTTAAGACAGTCCTCACTCATGGTATGATAAAGAACAGTAAAAAAAATAAAGCGAAGTAGGCTTATTTATACATAAAAGCCTGTTTGTAGACCTAAATGTACTGATTCAATGTGATATATAGATTAAACTTATTACCATTTAGAAATAGAAGTATAATATTTTTTTTTAATTCTAGTCAAATGTTTAGAGAAATAAACATCTAATACATAAGCGCAAAGGTGTCCAAGAATTTATGTGAAGATATTCTGATTAATGTTTTACACAGAGTAAAGAAGAGAAATGGGGAAAAAAGACTCCAAAAATGCAATAAGCTCTTCACCTATTGAAAATCACAGAAAACAAATAGGTATGAGTGTATTTTGTTTTAAGAAATAGTTACATGTACCAGTCTGAGAAAGAGAGAAATGGGGTTTAACATCCACTCAACACAGACTATGTCATTGGGGGACTAACATGCAATGAGGGGAAACCGGAGGACCCAGAGAAAACCCACAAGGTTGGCCAGGTAACCCTACTTTGAATCACGTACAAGCTTGGGATCAAAACCATGCCACTTAACTCAATGACCGACCTTTTGACCCAAAATGCACATGTTATAGCACCAACCACCAAAGCCTCTTTACATGAACTAAACTAGGTGTCTTGTATTGTTTGAATGGCATTCAGTAATTGGGACATAATCAAATAAGACACTTTATAATATGGGTAGGTGTCTGGGATTATTGAGAATTCATTCTAAATTATTAGGAACAGAGCTCTAGTAAATTTAAACAAATTAAAAAAATTGCCCCACACGTTGAAAACCATCACCTTCTCATGGTGGGTTAGGGGTGGGGGTGGTAGATGGCCGAATGGTTAGCGTGTGCGCGTTGCATCATAAGGTCTGTCATTGAGTCAACTGGCATGGTTTTGATTCCCAGTTTGTAAGTGATAAGGAGTAGGGTCGCTTGTTCAACCTTGTGGGTTTTCTCCCCATATCTCTCTCATGGTAACTTAATATTATACTTTATCCGTGATCAGTTTTTATAAATTGAAATGAAATGGGGGTTTAATGACCTACTTTTCTGCACCACCTGGACTAATGAAGACAGCTATACGACATGCAATGTGCTATGAGGGACATTTTACCTGGACAGCGGTGCTTCTACCTTCTCTTATTTTGATTGCCAATGACAATATGTACCTGGGATCTCAGTTTTTTGTCCAATCTAAATGACTACACGCACCACTAACAATAGAACTTTCTTGGCCAACACTGGTAGTGAAGCTGAGACCTCCAGGCTAGTGAGCCAACACCTTAACCCACTGAGTCACCATAGTACGGCTCTGGATCAGCTTTATAGTTTACATCATCAACTGATTCTGTTTAACAGGTAAACAGGAAATGAAGAGAGCTAAAAAAGAAATGAAAGTCGCCAAGAAACATTTAGATCAGAAAAGATCAGCTATGACAATACAGGTATTGATATTAAAGATACGTTCCCAGAAAAGTATTTATCGGGTGGTTATTTCCAATAAAAGTATGGCAATTTTGGTATATATGGAAAGTAGAAATATCCAATCTTACTAGAAAAATACTGGTTTCCCTGAAAAACACTCATAGAGCGCATACAGGTAAAAAATGTAAGGGTTTCCCTAATCGGCAGCCCGACGATTAGGAATGTCTGCTTGCGTGACATCAAAGGTTGCACGCAGAGATTGAGCGCTTGATGTACATGTTGATAAACCTCATGAAGAGTTAGACGTACAACACGTTCTGAGATAAAAATCACGGAAAAAGATGTGGGCAGGAGATAATCCGAGAATTTAATTAGGCTTCGATATTTATGATAAATGGATATCGATTAAAAGACAACATCGTCTTGTGTATGCAATGAATTCTCCTCCGACCTCGCACCAGTTTTGTTTTATAGCGGGGGTATTCCCTCGTTTAAACAGTGATTAGAGAAGGATTTGAAGCTAAATTTTGATAGATTAATCAGTTTGAATATGTTTTTAGTCCAAATTCATTATCAAATCACCCAGTTTGTATATGGGAATGTATCTTTAACCTTGGTATAATTCATTAACACAAAGCATATCTGTGTAACATTTCTTGATCTGATCATAATTTCAATTATTTTATTAACAATTGTACAAGATGATGGTTTCTGCAGAAACAAAGACATGAAAGATCCGACTTGATTAAGAGATGGTCTAATCAAGTATGGGTGTGTCTTGATTCTGTCATTTGTAAGAAAGAGAATAGATAGTATTGGGTTTTTTTTAGAATGTAGAAGATATAATTTTAGATGCTTCATTTTCAAAAGATGCAAATAAATTGGAAAGAAATAAGATAAACAGGGTGAGGGATTCAGCTACAATACAATTTTTTAAAAGCTAATTTGAAAATCTGTCTTCTTAATTATTGTTAAAGAATATGTCTTTCTTTAGTTTTTTTATGAAATGATTTGAAGGTTTTAATAATCTTGTATTGGAATATGTTATTGGTAAGTTAGTCAAGGTATTTCTCTTAGCAGATATCAGTATCATTAGGTCTACTATTCTTTTTTTTCTTCTTTTTTTTTTAACTTAGCAGCATACATTGATTAAATCTTTGAACACATCCTGTATAAATTTTATGATAAAAATTCATTTTATTCAAATACTATATTATAGATTCTCTCAAAACATTTTCTTTAAAATTTTGCAGGAAGTTATCTTAGTTGTAGGGGCATTATTGGCAGTAGTAGCAGGAATCTACTTTTTCTTCATGTATCAACTTGGAACACAGTGGTCACCAGAAAAGATTGTTACAGAAAATACCAAACAGGATTTATAGTGCTTTATTCATAAATAACATTTAATTTATGGTAAAGGTAAAATTCATTTTCTTCAAAAAACTCTAATTGAGTCATTATTTTATTTCATTAATGAAAAACGTCCAGAAATTGTATATCTTTCATTTTAAGCAATTAAAATCATAGTTAGATAATGATTATTGAATTGATTAAATGCTGTGTATTTTTTACAAATTTTTACAGATCCTATTCCGTTTCTTTTTTATAGTTCAAAATTTCGATTTACTTGTCTTTACTACACTAGGATCTGGATGTGTTTTGGATGATGTGAGGGATTAGCCAATGAAACGTTCTGTTACGGCGAGCTTTTGGTGTAAGATGCACGGAACTGTGGGTAATCCACTAGAAACATCAATAAGGTCAAAATCCGCTCGTATGACCTCTTGATGCGACCTCTCAAAACAACTGGTCAGATCTTCATGTAGTGTAGGCCATTGAAAGTATAAAAAAAACGAAACGAAGTATAGATCTGTATTGTTATCAGATTGTATTTTTTATTATAGCAGCAAGCTTCTTAAATTTAAGTTTTGTAGACAAAAAGACCTTTTTTCACTAAAATATATAGACCATACAATATCAGTGATGTACACGTACATGTAAATATTATATGAGAGGAAATTATGTTTGAAAAAAATGTTTATATGGAAATATGTTAAATGATTTTTATTTAATTGTTATTGTTTATGGATTTCTAAATAAATACTAATGGCTAGTGGCATAGTTGCAGGGGCGACATCGAAAGGGCACCAAATTCACAGGATTTTATTTTCCAAAAGTCTCTGTTTTGCTTCGCAGCATATTAACTGTATGCATGCATAATGTGTAATTTTTGTAGATGATTAAGATTGTTCATTTCATTTCCCCAGGTGATTTTGGGGCAAACTGTCTTTTTATATGCCTACATTGAAATGTGGTCATATATTGTCATCCACAATTGCTTGTAAACAGTAAAGGCTAAAATGATCATCCATTATCATTATAGCTCTTGATCAGTGTATACATAATACATAGACAGTGATTCAGTTCATGAAATCATTATGGCTATTATTTTCAACAATTTTTGATAATTACTGTTAGAGTTATGGCCCTTGAACAATCTTGTGACCCTGAAATTATAATCAAATTAACATTAATTTATGCAAAGTGTTTATGTTCATAACATAAAGAATCCTAAGGTATTTATCTGATTACAGGTACATCTTTTGTATAATAAATTTAAGTACTTGGAAGAATTAGAAATAAAATGAAATGGGATTTAACGTCCTATTGGTAGAAATTGAAGCCGGTCAAATTTTAGTTATATCTGATTATTACTGAATGGATTGTTAATATTAATCAGTTTTTAGTTTCTTGTATACTCCCATTACTTACAAACAAAAGAATAAATATGTGTCAAGCTTTGTGGACTGCTCAAACGATTTAGTCGTTGTAGGCGTATGTTTCATTGCCTGGCAACCGATCTTTGATGTCTTTTCTCATTGTATGAAATAATGAACATTTGTTGTTAGAATCGTGTATCTTATTGTTTTGTTGAAATCAACCGAATTAACTGTATGTGTATCATTGTTTAAAATTATATGTTCCTCTTCATTAGTCCTGTCAGAGCAGAACAGTAGGACTTAAACCCTATTTCATCATATTTCTTTCAAATTTACGTACTCATACATCTAGGTAATCTAATGTATTACTACTGAAACTTGTTCTGAACAACGATTGAAAGAAATAACAACATATATATGTAGGCTACCGTACTGTAAAAAAAACAAAACAAAGACAGCTTTATTATTACATATGACTGAAGATCTATCATAATATGTTTGTTAGAACAAATTTGATAGAAAGGCCAAATATTATTGAAATTGTATCCTACATCATGTCTTTAAACGATTTACTGATCAGTGCGCTCTTTTAATGCTGACAACTGAACAGTTACTAAATGGTTGTAAACAGAATTTTGGTATGACCCAAGTCAAATCATACATTCCAAATATCTTAAATGACATTATAAGAGTGGTTTTAAAACAGTTTTTAGTCTGCTTTATTATATTTTATGCCAAATTTTCTACACTTAACAGGAAATAATTGTTAAAGTTCAGTTACTAATACAAAAATAATTGTTATTTTATGGGATACAATTAGTTTATATAATAGTATCATTTTTTTCTTAATGTGGTGAAAAAAACTAAATATTTCAGAAATATATCACCTGGCAAATTGCCTGCTCCTTTATCATATATATTTTATTCACTTTATTCCAATTTCTGTTATTTACAATATCTAGGCCTGTTTAGGACCATTTAGTAACTTTTCATTGTAATTATGGATCGAGATTCAGCTTTCTTGCATGTGGCCTGACTTATGAAACTATGCATAATATGTGTTTTATATTATATTACTACTTAATACTTATGAAGATCATTATTTTATAACTATTGTCATACATTATGTTATTTATATATTTATATATGGATGGCTGGTTTATGTTGTTGTTTTTTTTTAAATTTGGCAAAATAATTGTTATATTATTCATTGGATGAGAGGATCATAATAAATCGTTCCATATATTAATGTCGTCTTTTAATTTTATGATTTGATGGACCATAACCCTGATTATGTCCAATCATGACCAATTTTAAAGCCTCCGGAAAACTTGCAGGGCTTAAAAGTCTGGATGGTCGAACCCTTACAAGAAAACGACTCAATAATCAAGCATACATAACGGAAGTACAAAGTGCTCGCAATGGCGACGTAAACAAACCTAATGTTGAATTATGTGAAGGGAGTTTAGTCATAGTACTCGTAGTTGTGGTTATTGGAACATTTATTTTTTTATACACAGAATGTAACTGTTTCCCATAAATAAAACCAGAGAACATGTCATCGCCGTTAGGTCAAGCCAGTAAATCCCAAACTGCTGGGTCTCAAGCTGGTGGGTCCTCAGCAAAAACTGGCCAACCTTTGCGACGGCGAAGAACTCGGATGTTGAATGAGAAGAAAATAGCCGATGATGAGTTCATGGCTGCAGCTATTGGCGACGTGGAGTGGCTAAAACAAAGCATTAAAGATAACGGAAGACAAGTTAATTTCGATAAAAATGTAAATATTCAAGAAAGTATTTATAAATTGACATTAAATTTAACTGTTTACATGGTTGCTAAGGTGGAGTAGGTGAAGTTATTACCATTATAATTAGGCCTAAAGTAAAGTGCAAATCCAAACCAGAAGTGAATCACATTAATAAACTTTTTTTGTCTTTATTTCTGATTACTGGAAATTAAATAGAATGGTGGATTTTATTTATAATTTGAATTTCTTATACAGAGCTCTGTGATCGGTAGCTTCCTATTCCAGATATGATTTATGAATTCATACATAGATCTATACCACTAATATGAAAATATTAACCGAAAAACAAAATGATAGATCAGTATAATAATTGTAATGTTGGTAGTAATTCAGTGATGATAGGGATTTGCAAGTTTTTTATACATCCCTGACAAGAATGATTATTTTTATTTCAGGGTTTAACAGCATTCCATCTTGCAGCCATCCATGGTAGATTAGACTGTTTAAAACTATGTATAGAAAAATTTAACTATGATTTAAATCTGCCAAGTTCTACTGGTTGGAGACCAGTTCATCTTGTTATTAGCAATCAGACTGGAAAAAGGGCATTAAACTGTCTAAAATATCTCCTGGACAAAGGAGCTGATCCATCTGTGTGAGTAAACTAAACAAACTGAAATACAATTTGGTTTATGAAAGGGTAAAGGGGGAGTATGGGAAATGTCAGACATTTGAGCTTCCCTGTGAAAATATAGAAGTTGAGAACTGACAAATTGTCTACCACTAATGGTCTAGTACCTGACATTTTGATCTTTCTGATATAAGACAAATCTGTGCTTGACAAAATGACAGGCACCAGGGGGATTGTGCCCGACGAAGCCAGAATTTGTGCCTGGCAATGTCTGTGACAGGTGCCAAACTTAGTTGAAAAGTTAAAGATTAAAATCATCAGCCCAAATCCTGTGGACAACATTAAACAAAACTAAACTGAGGAAAATTGGCTTTTTGAGAATATTTTCCATAAATTTGGGGAAATAAAATAAGTGACTTGGAGTCTTATGCCAAAGATTAGTAATGAGCTCCATTTAAACAAACCTGTAGCCTGAAGGCCAAAGATGCATAAAAGTAAAGTTATCTAAATTTGATTTAATAGGCTGTAAATTGAATAATATATTTCATTAGGCTGTAAATAGGCCATAAATTGAATAATATATTTCAATAGCTGTAAATGGAATAATATATTTATTTTTTTAATTATATATAGTGCCAATGATGATATGATAACTCCTGTACATCAAGCTGCTAGTGAGGGGCATGTACAATGTTTAAAACTCTTGTTAGAAGCTGGTGCTGATATCAATAGTAAAGATTGTCGTGGTAATACACCATTAGATTTAGCCAAATTATGGAGTCACAGAAAATGTGGAAGGTACAGTATTATTATCATGGATTTTGTTTTTCTAACAGTTCCTTTTTTATATTTTGGAATATAAAAAAAAAATCATTTTTTCAACATTGTGTTGTAAACAGATCAGAATTATAGGGCCCCTTTCTCAAATCTCTTATGGAATTATTGTCTAAGCATATTTAATGGCATCCAGATTTGTGAATAAATTTTATGCTTTGAATTATATTGGTTTAATCACTGCTATTGATTTAATAGTCTCGGTCATCCCATCATTTGACATTAAAATACTCAGAAATCTTAATACATCACAGAATTAAATATCTTTTCATTACTTTTTCAACAGGATACTAGCGGCAGAAATATGGCATCAAGAAAAAGATTATGTTGCCAAAGAGATGAATCAGTTACAGAAAGTAAAGATGAAACAAGTCTTAAAGGAATTAGAAGACGAAGAAGAAAGACATACAGCTCAAGAATTTTATGGTCAACAGGCTTTTAAAGATTGGTTAGCAACAAGAAATCTGGAAGAGAAACCTGTCGGACCAAGTCCAAAACATGAATATCATTATGATGATAGTGCACGACATCCTCTATCAAAACCAAATAGTGTAGTTCCCAGTGGCAAATCTCACAGTCTCAAGTCTGGCAAAAATGAATATGGTCTATCACCTTCTCCAGTGAAAGACAAGATACCTCCTGCTTTTAAAAGAGATCCAACTTATAACACAGAATACACTGAAGACTTTGAAGATTATGATGAAGAAATTCTTGATTTTGAAGATGGTAGAAAAAGCTGTACTTCTCCACTTAAATTATCACCAAGAAGCCATAGGAAAAAATTAACATTAATTCAGCATCCTAGTCCATGGAATATATCCACGAAGGCTAAAGAGGGGGATTACATTCCGATTCTCAAAGACGAATACCCAAGAGATGAATTTACACTGATGCCTAAAACCAAACCAGAACAGAAATATTATGATGGTAAACATGCTAAACCTGTAGACGTCACTGAAGAAAACAAAACAAAAAAGAAAACCAACTCTGGCAAAACTCGGGCTATTGATCTCCCCCAAGATGTTTTAGACAAAGTGTTATCCCGAGACCCTTCCATTTTAGAAAGACCAATATTATTTAAACCAAAACATGTTATTGACTTGCCAGCTAAGAAGAAATTAGACTTTGAAGTGAAACCAAAAGATGAAGTCTCATTGCATCTATGTAGTGATGTAACTTCAATACTGTTTAAAAATAGCCTCAAAATTCCCCTGTCCCATTCTGCTAAAAGTAGTTCGTCAAGCAGTAGTGAAAATACTGATTGGAGGAACCAAAATTTCCCTCGGTCAATGGTGGCTAATGCCCTGAAACAAATGTCAAAAGCCAACCGTTTTCCTAAATCAAGTGGTCAAGAATATGAAATTAATTTTGGGGAATTAAAGGGAATATAAAAAGAAAAAAAAAGGCCACTGAAGTTAGAGAATAAAATTGACATTTTAATTATTGCGCTATTGAAATAGGTATAGATTGTGCTTAGATTAGCTTATACGAGACATTTTATTTATTGCCATTGTTCATATGATATTAACTTATTCTGTTTTTGTTTCAAATCGATCTTGCCTAATGTAAATATGTTTTTTAAGAAAACTAATCCAGTCATTATGTCAGTCAATCTAAATATAATATATAGACAAATGTTATAAAAATATCTGCAGTGAATTTGAATCTACAAAATAAATACACTGTTTTTCACTAGACTTTTTTTTTCATAGACCAGACTTAGGGACCAGTAAGCTTAGGTAGGATTTTCCATTATGACTAACATCTCAGACATTTCTTTTCACCGAATAGTGAACCAAATAGGCACAAAGAATTATGGAAGTTAATAGAAATTTACACAGAAATGCAGTTTGGAAAATTTCACTAGATTGAATCTCTATCTGCCCCCAAATCAAACTTCAGAATTTGGCATGCCTGTCTCCCAATGTAACACTTGCATGCCACCAGACAAGGCAAGTTTGTCAAGTTATTGCATGGTGGGACATAAGACTGCATTGATATGTAAAAGTTTCCTTGAAAATTGAACAGAAAAATTGCTGTTAACAGCATAAACTCTCGCCGGGGCATTCATAACCAGGGGCTGTAAATTCCTATTTGACAGTCAGAATTAGATGACCGAAGTACTGTGTTGACAGACATTTAAAGTCCATTCCATTTCGTCCCTGGTATGGTGAACCTTGCTGTAGTAGAAATGTAGTGTACTATTATTATATGCCTTATTTAGCCAAAAACTGTAGCCAAAATGTGATATTTGTTAAATTTATACTACCAGTATGTATTAATTAATGTTAACTTTTTATTATATTTATGATTGTATTTTATTAATAAATTATTCATAGGTAGTATTGTATTTGTAATTTTTGAGCATAGCGACAGAAAGGAAACTAAATGTTTTCTGCAATCTAAGGTCTATTTCCATAACTCTTATCGGGTGCATGTCACTCCCTTCAAAATCCGGGCATTACACCACATTCTGCACACAAAGATCCATCTACTTTATTCTTCGAGAATAGATCCCTACCCTAAATGACTGCCATATCCAAAAATTAGTATACTGTTTGTAATGCGTTTCAACTGTTTCACATCTGTCATACACACAAGGATTAAATAAACTTTTTCAGTTCTATTAAATGTTGGCATCATAAATACTTAACAAAATTCTCAAAGTATACTTAGTGTTTTCGACTAAAATCATTGATTTAGGACTTAGTGTCGGTCAATTAGCTTAGTGTCTGTTCTCAAGCAGAGCTAACTGTAGACAAGCAGCCTAAGGTTAGTATGATTACACCATAAAGCAACTGTTAATTATAGTAATGATGTCATAGCACTATCAGTTTGTCCTGTTCACAATCAGTCCCAACAGGACAAAACTAGGTTAAGCCTCCTTCCTGCACCTAACCCCACACTTCCAAAAATGATGCCCTGGCTATTCACACACCAAACCTTATTACAGCTGCAGAATAGGAATACAAATCCATAAGCAAGCCCCCCACCCCAAGTAGTATGTACAAGGGTTTCCTATATCTCATTCAGGTTTGTCTGTTGATTCAAATAGCTATCAAGCTGGTTTTAATATTAATGTTTTAATGATAAGTGATCATCCAACTTACCTATGGTTAAGAAATACTAATTTGGACAGAGTGTCTCCAGATTGTACGCTGTAGTCTGTGCTTTGCAATGACATTGTTTTTAGAGATTAGCAGGTCATGCTTTCACAGAACAACTCATCTAAGCATCAAGCCCTCTAAATGCTCTGCAATGTTTTTTCCATAGGCGTACGAGCAGACAGGTAACACAAATTATTATTTCATCTAGCTGGCAAAATAAAGTACCCGAAATCTAATAACACACTAATTTAACTTTTCTTTTAATTAAATATCACAAATTTGTACTGAATTGACTATGGATTAAACCATTTTGTCTGGAGCCACTCTACTTTGTGCAACATTTTTCAGTGCATCGATTATTATTTGTCAATGCAGATGCAAGTTTGATTGGATGATTGAACTTGGGGTCGCCATAGAGTGGGATTTCAGTTGCAAAACGATTGGACAACATGGGGCAGAAGAGCGCATTTGCTGCGGTTAAATTTTAAAAATTTACTCTGTGTGGGCGAGGCCCCCGTACCCAAGACAATTGATTGGTTGTTGGGGATTCAGGTCAGCCACTTAAGGTAGGCTATGTTGGACCAAATTGAAGATGCTGTATTCACAGGCTAGGATAGCAGGAAAAGGAGTTTGCGGCAGTGAAGTTTTCAAAACTTTCTCCTGATGGTCCCTGTATCCGTGGACTGTGAACAATTGATTGGTTTTCAAGTCATCCACCTAAGTTAGAGTACATTAGATCACCTTAAAGTTGTTGTATTCATTGGCAGAAATAGCAAGAAAACGCATTTGCAGCCATCAAATTTTGGGAGGGGGGGGGGGGTGCAGACGGTAAACTCTGCTCCTTCACCTCTCTAGATGACCAGAGCCATTGTCTTTAACCCAAAATTTTGGGGGGCATTTCAGGCTCTGCCTCACTAACATTCATCGAGCCCATGCGGCATACACTTATGTTTTTTTTCGAAAGCTCTCTAGTTATAAGAACAAAATATATCGCACAGCGATTTACCATAAAATTATAAACCTTGTTTAAAATGTTTCAAGTATTGAGGATGATCATTTCTATTGTCAATAACTCCGCTACAGAATAAAGTTGATATAGTAGCCTGCATGTTCACGGAAAATTCAGGACAGTGTGAATTAAATGAATGGTGTCTAATGTCTAACTTTTCTGCATCAATGGACTATTAAGTTGGACAAATGCCATGCTCTGTATTATGAAGGAAATTTTTGCAAGGACAGTGACATCAAGGGTTCTTTTACGGGCTAACGTGTACACAGGTCCTTAGTTTATTGTCCCATCCGAATACAGAGAACCTTGCCAGATCCTATGTCCTGTATCAATGACAATGGTGGAAAACATGCTGGAAAATATTGACACCACTGTAGCTTCTCAGGAAGGTGGTAATATAAACTAATTATAATAGCAGTCTAAGCTGTTTAAAGACAAACATCCTGCACTATGTTCATAATGAATATTGTTTTGGATTCCAAAGAGACATACTCGCCAGGGTGAACTAGATGAAAGAGAGAGAGAGAAATGGGGTTTAACGTCCACTCGACACAAACTAGGTCACTTGCGCGTAGGGGTCTTTAGCAGTGGGAGGAACCGGAGGACCCGGAGAAAACTCACGAGGTTGGACAGGCGACCCTACTCCTTGTCACGTACAACTGGGGATTCGAAACCACACCAGTAGACTCAATGACAGACTTTATGATACAGCACGCACGTGCTAACCATTCAGCCATCCAACCCCCCGAACTAGATGAAGATGACGACTGTAGATATAAAGATAGAAGATATACAAGACAAAATAAATGACAAGAATTGAGTATTATTTGATGATCTATGTATATATATGAAGCAAATAAACAATATCAAATACAATATGGATGTCTTAATAAAAAACGTGGGACAACAGGGAACAATAAAAAAAAAAGTGAACATATGTTTCTCAGTGAGAAATCAGTAAACATAATACTAATATTTAAAGAAAATATTTATGCAGATAAATTTTGGGTACCTTAAAGTCTATAAGTACAAATAGAAATAATGCAGCTTATGTTTGTTCGATATGAGGGGACTGTGGCATGCGCTTTAGATTCTACAGTCTGTCATGGTGTCATTAGTGTGGTATCAATCCCAAGGTGACAAGGAGTACGGAGTCCTGCCTATCTTTCTAGGTTTATTGAAAGAAAATTTACCTTGTTACTCCCGAAATGACCTAATTCGTGCTGATTGGACTTTTGTTTTTGCTGCAATCCAGTCCGGTTGGAGCTGACATGTCACAAAACTCCATTTCATTTTTTTTATTTTCATTTTCTTACTCTTGTTCAAATTTGTATCATAAATGACAGAAAACAATTATGACAGACTTGGATTTCTATTTCAAAACACTTCTTTTCCATTATGATTCTAAACTCTGTTCATCTGATAAAAACATGACAATTTTATATATATTTGAATATAACTGAACACAACAAAAGCTTTATTCTATTATTTATAAAGCTAAGTTCAACAATAACATGCATGTAAAACTTCATTCATCACAAATACAGCCTGTTCCATGTCCAAACATTGCATAATATCAACTAAATTCTATCCCAAATCAAAATTGTTTTTTAATTCTCTGAGGCAACACACTATCTTGAGCATATTTGAAAAATGAAAGAAGTCCATATTTTTTCCCCTTGTTCTTGAAGTAAATGCTTACTGGATCAGAATCTGAAAAATGAATAATACTGGTACACATTCACTTTAAAACCATTCAAAATTTCTCATAATTATATGATTTATAGAGAGAGAGAGAGAAATGGGGTTTAACGTCCACTCGACACAATCTAGGTCATTTCGGGCTAACATATGGTTCACTTTTTTTTTCAATAATTCGCTTGCGCATAGGGGTCTTTAGCAGTGGGAGGAAACCGGAGGACACGGAGAAAACCCACAAGATTGGACAGGCGACCCTACTCCTTGTCACGTACAACCGGGGAATCGAAACCACGCCAGTTGCCTCAATGACAGACCTTATGATACAGCGTGCACATGCTAACCATTCGGCCATCCATCCCCCTATATGATTTAAAAGATAGAGAAAAGCGTAATTTTATGTATGATGAATCATTCTATCTTTTTAAACATAAATATTTTCAACAAACCTGAACTAAGTGAAGGTCTTTCACTTGAAACTGTTGGTAAAACATATTCATTGGCTGATAGAGAAACGAAAAATGCAAAAGGTACCAACCACAAACAGATAGTGAAATATGCCATCACCTGAAATAGAACGTTGAAGCTTAATGACATCTTATTCTATAAATTTCATTGTAATATAGGCCTACTTTGAAGCAACAAAAACAGAGGATATTTACCACTTTCACAAACAATCATAAATTTACACCTTGCTCAAAAATTAAACTAAGATTGATATCTGCTTATTATAACATGAAAATGAAAAATGTCAGTGACTCGTACTCGTTTTAAATCCAACTGTTTGGCTTTGACAAACAATAAAACATAAACAACAAAACTTTCAAATGGATGATTCAACATAAATATCAAACTCTTACCTCTGAGAATGGATACCACACATTTGAAAAATGAGAAAATGTCACATAGTGCTGACCAAACATCATCGCTGAAATACAAAAATGCACTTTTCAAATATATACTCACATCGAAGTGCAATCTCCAAATTAACAAATGCTCAAGACTGTTACCAAATCAAATCAATGAAATAAAATTGAACCATTTGTTAATTCCAAAATAACCTAATTTGTGTCAGTGGAGTCTGTCTTTCTGTCTGTCTCTCTCTATTTTTTTTTTTAGCAGCATTAATTTAATTGAACACATTCAAATAATCACACAATTCTATGGAAGACAGTTTTAATTGGATATATGTTTACAATGACTTGCTTGCTGATTATTATTACAGAAAATTTACTTCTAAATATTTTCAATATATTTAAATGCATTGAAGACACTATCTTTAAATTATGTATCTAGCACAACTAACCAACAGAGCCAATAAAAGATGGAGATGTCAAGTTAAAATATGGAAAATTCTGTAGAACCATGAAATAGAACCCATTGGCTAATAATCCTAGGACTGATACATAGAACGGAAAATCTTCAAGTACCAAAACTCCAATATGAACTCCTGTTGTAAACTAAAACAGAAGAAAATATAAGTAATATAATAACCATTGGAATATTATACTGCCATCATTTATATATATGCTATGGTAAAAGCAAACTTGCATATATATATAATTTTCCCTAATAATAATAATGACTGAATTATGTACCTGACTTTGCTGTCATGAGCAATTGTAGATATTAAGTTCCTGCTTAATGGAAAAGTACCAGTTTACAATTATCCTAAAGTAAGCACATGTTTGACTAATTAGTTTCACATCCTTAAGGACTTATAAGAACTTTATTACATATTGTTTCAATGTACAGGGGGATCACGTGGCTAAGTGGGTAAGGCGCTGGCTCGCTAGCCTGGAGGTCGGGTGTTCGATCCCTGCATTGGCCGAGAAAGTTCATCCAGATTTTCCGGCGTGGTTCCCCCTTGTCAGTGATGCAGGACGGAGGGCCTGACAAGGATGAGACGAAAAACCAAGGTCCCGTGTAAACATTGGAATGCACGTAAAAGATCCCTTGGCAGTTGGAATTCGATATAAGAGTAGGCGATAGTGCCGCTGCCCGGGCAAAATTTCCCTCATAGCACACTGTGTGGCGTATGCCCGTCTTCATTAGCCCAGCATAGGAGCAGAACAGTAGGATGTTAAACCCCAATTCATTTCATTTCATTGTACAGGAAGCATGGTACATGTGAAGTTAATGGTTGCAAGCAAACAAATGACAAGATTATCAGTGATTCAGAGAGATGGTATACATGTCACACTGATTTCTGTTTTCTAAGACTAGAGTAATAGTTACGTGTAGCCACATCAAGACAGGAAGCAAAGTCCTAAAACTACATTGTTAACTATTTTTTTTTATGTCAACTTACTATGATTAAGTATTGAATTATTTTTGAAGTAAACACTGTATTTTCTTCAACCAATTCAGCAAGGTAGTACAAACCAGCAGCTAATAGAAAAAAAATGAACATTTTTCAGACAAAGGTAAAATATTGTTTTCTGTTATTTCCATACATCAGAAAATCAAGATTATTAAAGATACATAATGGGAGATTTGATAAAGAGCTGGTAGTTCTCACTATAATATTTTAAAACTAGATAACATAAAGGGAGTTTGCTGAAAATTTCAGTCAAATTGATCCACTCTGAACGGAGAACTTAGCTCGATCATCATTACTAAAGTTGGTAAGATAAAAAAACATAGTCTCGCTTAATCCATTTCTAATTAATTCATGAATGAAAGTTGAGCAGCAAATTGGATCCTAATCCAGTGAATATTGCAGGCTAGTGATGACATTGAGAGTTGATTATGGTCTGGATAAGTTACATTGTAACTAATGTCTAATTAATAATTTAGATAACATTTCTGGCCTAAATAAAGACCTGCAATAGGCAGATTTGGCTCTTGTATAATGAATGTTTAACCGTTATACACAGGTCACAATTATATGGAATAAAATTACTGCTTATTACTGAGCGAAGTTTCTAAATGACTTACTGTCTGATTCATCGTAAATTTTAAACGGATTTCTTCGATTATGAACAAACTACTTAACTTTGGTTATTATAAACTCACCTGTGTGTTTGTAATGAACTCCCGTTCGATAAAATCCATTGCACAACTAATTATCACAACGATGAAAACAATTTCTCTCTTGAAAAATTTGAAAATTTACTTGTAATTTCGACAGAGTCGATGTCAACAATGTCTTCGTGACGTATTGGTCGAATCCAATATACCTGTTGCGGGGGTTGGTTAACATTGAAAGATAGTTTGACAGCGCGATCATTTTGATCGTATATGGGTTTGGGCGACGAAAAATATCAATTGAAGGCAATTACATAGGAGATTTATATGGAAACCATTGATCGCCCGTCCTTCAAATTTTCTTCACAATTAAAATATCACTGATTGCACGGATACTCGTAAAAATAAAGTCATGAATAAACTATAAATATCCTATCTTCTTTATGTTATAAATAATTTAACAAGGATCATGAAGCTTACCTCCGAATTCTCTGAGTGTATTTTTAATTTTATACGCATTCTTTCGATCGAATAATAACCGCTTCAGTAACATCTTTAAGCGTGTTGCGGCAGCCCTCAGCGTGTCTATTGCCGTATTGGGTGCCCGGGAGGGTATATAATGCTACTAAGCCCGTATGACCCCGTAAGAAGCGGAACATTAATTCTCGATTCGACAGTTTTGACCGAAGTGTGATAAAGCCCGTAAAACGAATGTATAGTTGTGTTTGTGCGGCATGAGTGTTCAAAAGTAAATACTCCCATCCGAGTCGCTAATCAAATAATTAGAACAAAATATTTCAAAAAGTAAAGCTATAAAATTTGCAGAGATTTTACTAGAATGTAAAAGACGGTAACTAAATACAGGAATGCGGGTAGTTATGTGTGCGAACGCTCAAACTCAATGCCAATTGTCGTAGGTATCCAGACCACTCGGACCAAAGACTACTCGGACTAAGACCAGTCGGACCAAAACAAGACCAGTCGGACCAATTAAATTATATTATAAGGCTAGACAATATGCTATTTATTTATTATTAAATCACAATACAAAGAAGCAAATAATTCTTATACGGAATTCTTATATTTAGAGTTGTTTGGTTCAATTTTGTGTACGTAAATAAATCAACGATTAGTTTTAAAATTAATTAATAATGGTGCCATAAAAAATATCAATCTAATTTTTCTTTACTCTTGCAATGAGACTCGGTATGTCCAGACTTTTGACAGTTTCTACATATACGGGTATACTGTTCTTGTCTGATAGCCTAATTTTACTTTTTCCACATTCGCGGTATCCCCAGTGGTTTCATTCCGTTCTACCCCACTAACCCCTGGGTTACTATATATGGGGGGGGGGGGAGACACGTTTTCAAGTTATCCGCCCTTGATGCGTTAATTTAAACAGCACATAATAATACGAAGACCGGACGTTTATATGCCCCTTTTTAAACGTGACTACAAGTGTGGTTCTCGATATTTTGCGATTTGGAATACAATTATCAATTTATTCAAACAACACGTTATTATTAGTTCGAGTAGTCATATTAAAACACACACAATTATCAATTTATTCAAATAACACTTTATTATTGGTTCGAGTAGTCATATTAAAATAAACACAATTATCAATTTATTAAAATAACACTTTATTATTGGTTCGAGTAATTATATTAAAACAAACGCAATTATCAATTTATTAAAACAACATTTTATTATTGGTCCGAGTCGTCTTTCTGTTGGGTCCGAATAGTCTTTTTGTATGGTCCAAGTAGTCTATTTGTTTGGGCTGAGTGGTCTATCACTTGGTCCGACTGGTCTTGAACCGAGTGATCTTTGGTCCGAGTGGTCATGGATTCTTGTCGTAATTGTACTTGAATTTCCTATGCTGTCACCCCTAATACGAAACGATATCTTCCGCAGAGTGACGTAACCATCTTCCATATTGGTATTTTTCTCTGGGAAAAGTTTGTGATATTTCAATTTTTCAAGAGAGAACTTGTTTTCATCGTTGTGATAATTAGTTGTGCAATGGATTTTATCGAACGGGAGTTCATTACAAACACACAGGTAAGTTTATAATAACCAACGTTAAGTAGTTTGTTCATAATCGAAGAAATCCGTTTAAAATTTACGATGAATCAGACAGTAAAATAATTTATTAACCACTATTTGTTATAAAATCAATTGACATGCATTTCATCATATGATGAAAGGATTTGGCAACTATTTTGCCCACAAGGGTGTATGATAACTGATATGAATGTTAACCAAAGCAATAATGAAACCAAGCAAATTATTGTATTAACAATGTCTTAAAACACAAAAAGTTTAAATGCAAAATGTCATTACCACAAAAAATGAGATATTCCTCAGTGTAATATATGTTGTAGCTTAGATCAATTTATAAGAATTTAAATGTTAGTTTCCATCCATAACGCAGAAAGACCAATAACTCACTGTTCATATTTAGAACTTGTTACCATAAATCAAATACCTTTTTGTACTCAAAATGACTAAAATGGTACTGTTCCTTTTGCATTTAAACTCTTCATAATCATAGTCTTCTGGAAGGTGTTTACTTCATAATCCCATTTCAGAAATGACTGCTGATCAGTAGGCCTACAGCCCTAAATCTGGCTTAGGGTTTACATTGAATTATAACATCATTTAGCCTTTAGACAAATATTATAGGCCAATGTGAAAGTTACAATTCTAATGATGCATGGATGGAGGCTTGAATCTTGATTCATTTCATGAAGGACAAAACCAACATGATTATGATTGTTTGCCATACCATTTTCAGAGCCAAGTTGCTTTTTGACAATCACTGAATCAGGTTAGTTTGTATACAGTATAGTACATCGTTCTTTTATTTTTGTTTTTAAAATTCATCTTCTTTTGTATGTTGTGCTCGACATGAGCAGAAATAAAATTACAAAACATTACTAGTAATACGCTCAACAACTGAAACATGTATGACTATGATGATGAGGCAGATGGGATACTCAATTGATAATTACCAATGGAGAGTGTTACAATTGCAATCTGTATAAAAAGAGCTATCCAGCTCAAAAAATATATAAACCACATTTCAAAAGACTTCTAGCGATGTCTGGTTAGCATTTAATAGTGTGTTACATTCGCTTTAGTTATTGATTTTGACTTTTCGTTAAATTCCACACGTTCTAGTCGGCCATTGATGTAAATGAGAGTGGCCTCCCTTTATATCGAAGGGAGCAGTCCTTTTTGCGATATTTTGGGGGAAGTCCCTTTTAGAAACACATCAAGATATCACCACATTAAAATTCATTTTACCTTTCACCAAAACGCTAGTTCGATTCGTTCTGTATCTATCCCGGCTTGTGAAAATCTTATTGAAATCAGATGTCAGTTATGTTTCGTTTTATTTTGTCGACGTTGGTACGGTATAAGCTAGTTCGATTCGTTCTGTGTCTATCCCGGCTTGTGAAAATCTTATATTGAAATCAGATGTCAGTTATATAATATATTATGGTGGCTGATTGGTATCATGTCGTGATGTCGCCTTTCATAACGCGACAACCCGACATCACAACATTTCTACCTGACATCCCGACAACCCGACACCACGACATTTTTACCCGACATCACGACATTTTTACCCGACATTACGACACTAAAAATGTCGTAATGTCGGGTAAAAATGTCGTGTATTCGGGTAAAAATGTCGTGTTGTCGGGTTGTCGTGATGTCGGGTTGTCGCGTTATATCTTGACCATGTTGAACATCTCTATATTCGTTTAAAAAACAACTTAAAACACATTTATTTAATCAGGCTTTTAACTGACTCTGTATACAATCGTTAAGCAATTTGATTGGTCGATGTTTTGGGACACAATAACCTTGATTCTAGCTAATTCTGAGTTTGATCATGAGAGAGAGAGAGAGAGAGAGATAGAGAGAGAGTTGAGGTTTAACGTCCACTCGACACAAACTAGGTCATTTCGGGACTAACATATGGTTCAATTTTATTTCAATAATTCGCTTGCGCGTAGGGGTCTTCAGCAGTGAAAGGAAACCGGAGGACCCGGAGAAAACCCACGAGGTTAGACAGACGACCCTACTCTTTGTCATGTACAAGCTTGGGCTGGAAACCACACCACTTGACTCAATGACAGACACACAGACAAGGGCGGCTTCATGATATTATGAAATGAAATGGGGTTTAACGTCCTACTGTTCTGCTCCGACTGAGCTAATGAAGACAGTTCACATTATGAATGTGGACGTATACAAATGGATACGAATGCAACTAAAACTGCGCTGTGAGTGTGAATCTACTTCCACTTGATCAACCATTTTCTTAATTACCGGGGGGTTGGATGGCTGAATGGCTGAATGGTTAGCGTGCGCGTGCTGTATCATAAAGTCTGTCATTGAGTCGACTGGCGTGGTTTCGAATCCCCGGTTGTACGTGACAAGGAGTAGGGTCGCCTGTCCAACCTCGTGGGTTTTCTCCGGGTCGTCCGGTTTCCTCCCACTGCTAAAGACCCCTATGCGCAAGCGAATTATTGAAATAAAATTTAAAAACCATATGTTAGTCCCGAAATGACCTAGTTTGTGTCGAGTGGACGTTAAAACCCATTTCTCTCTCTCTCTCTCTCTCTCTCTCTCTCTTAATTGCCAGTTTTTTGTTATGAATATCATCATGGCCGCTTATAATATTGATCATGAAAGTCGATAACCCGACATCACGACAACCCGACATCACGACAACCCGACACATTTTTACCCGACATCACGACATATTTAGTGTCGTAATGTCGGGTAAAAATGTCGTGATGTCGGGTAGAAATGTCGTGATGTCGGGTTGTCGTGTTGTCGGGTAGAAATGTCGTGATGTCGGGTTGTCGCGTTATGAAAGGCGACATTACGACATGATACCAATCATCACCATAGTTATGTTTCGTTTTATTTTTTCGACATACGGTATAAGCCATATAGTTTTCTTTGAAGACGGCGTTCAAGTATCGTGAACTATTTGACGTAATCAAATAGAAAAAGTTTGTGCATTACCATGTTTTTAATAAGTATAGAATGAATAAAAATGAAATGGAGTTTAACATCCTACTGTTCTGCTCCTAAACTGGGCTAATGAAGACGGGCATACGCCATACAGTGTGCTATGAGGGGAAATTTTGCCCAGACAGCGGCACTACGGCCTACTCGTATATCGAATTCCAACTGCCAAGGGATCTTTTACGTGCACGCCAATGTGTACACGGGACCTCGGTTTTTCGTCCCATCCGAACGATTAGACAGCTTTCCTTGTCAGCCCCTCCGTCCTGCATCACTGACAAGGGAGAACCACGCCGGAAAATCTGGATGAACTTTCTCGGCCAATGCAGGGATCGAACACCCGACCTCCAGGCTAGCTAGCTAGCGTCTTACCCACTTAGCCACGTGTTTGATTTAAAAGTGTTTGATTTATAGGGCATGGTGCGACTCAGGCCCGTAGCCAGCTTGCTGGCTTCGGAGGGGCAGTGAAGTTTTTAGGCGGGGGGGGGGGGGGAGGGGAGGACACTCGGCACAGTCTACAGTGGGTATTTTAGAGCTATGGTTGGCAATTTATTTTCGGGGGGGGGGGGCGAAATATTTTTGGCTACGGGCCTGGTGCGACTGGATCATAGATGTGTGTGGTTTATACGGCGTGTTGTTACTCATAGATAATTGTGTGGTTTTATGGGGTGTGATGTTACTCAGATAAGTGTTTGGTGTGTGTTAGGCCTACTCTTAAATACGTGTGTGGTTTTATGGAGTTACTCATAGAAAGCAAATTTCTGTTCCAAATTATGACTGGTCAATAGCCCGATTAACAACCAACACCTAACTGCGTAACTATATCATTCGGGTTTAAACAGAGCTCAAGATATTTTTACATAACGTTACGTCACGACTCACGAAATTTATTACGACAAATTAAATATGGGCAGTGCATAGCAGAATATTGTAGAAAAAACTAATTGCGTGACAAATGAAATGAAATGAAATGGAGTTTAACGTCCTACTGTTCTGCTCCTAACCTGGGCTAATGAAGACGGGCATACGCCATACAGTGTGCTATGAGGGAAATTTTGCCCGGAGAGCGGCACTACGGCCAACTCTTATATCGAATTCCAACGAGGCTATCAAAATGCCTACAATGTAAACAATACTGCTTGGAGACAACAATACTTTCGCCGATTTTAATACCCCAAATCACCGTTCAAAGTTTTATGGAAGACCCCAGATTAAACGAAGGGCTGTCATACTGCTGTACTTAGCCTGACTTAGGAGAGATTTTATTGAACGGGAAGAATAGACACACTCCCTCGAAAGCTCAAGTATCAGAAGTCAATCCGGCCATTGTTTCAGGAATATGTTGGTGGTGCTACTTATAGATACGTACGTGTATGGTTTTATGGGGTGTGGATCAGGTAGTGAACGTATGAGATGGGGTGACTATGAGGGTGTGGTGGATTTGAATGTTCTAAAAATAGGCCATCACGGCCCAACTCTGAGTCGTTTTGATGACAGTGCCATAACGTTTTCACTTGCCGTGCTACTCTGCATAAGATCTAATTATTGTTACCAGCTTTGTGGCTCGATAAGTAAGGCGCTGACTAACAGGGGGCCCGGGGTTCGATTCCATTGCCGGGAAAATTCGAGTGCACATTAAACTGATTCAGAAGCGAGTTATATCGAAGGAGCCGATGGCACCAGACTCCGACCCAAAAACAAATGGCAGAGTCCGAGGTGTAAATTTGATATGCCCCCCCCCCCCTACAGTTCAGTACAGAGACCAAGAAAAGGGACACACGTTCGAAAAGAGGGACACCTTTGACTTCAGTGCAAGGGAATATGTGCCCGTATCTAGTATTATGACACATAAGTCACTTGTCATACGCCACTCCTGTAATACTATGGTCTTTGCGACCATATTGTATCTTTAATTAATTTTTAGATTCACACATTGTAGAGAAGTCATATCCCACGCACTCAAATTAAAATGACTGAGTGACATATAAAAGATTTATAAAACCAAAACAGAGATGATTTTAGGTGAACCCAGAATATCATGTTTATCACCTGTGTTGGAAAATCCCTATTACATCAGTAGATTTAGTAACTAATCTTCATAATTAATTACGTAATATTTGTCAAATTAAACAATTGACAGCGCTGTCCCGAGGCCGCTGTCTATGTTGTAAGAGTGATTTAGGTCCTATAGATTTTAGACATCATTGGGTTCCGGACAGATATCATGCGAGTTCCGTCGACATGACCATCTGACTGCCGCCGAATTTTCAGAGAGAGTAGACATCGCCTTGGCTCTTTAGATGACAGGAGTTGGGGTTGAGTGAAAGATGTTAATTTTAAGTATGCTAATAAATCTATTATGCATTGTAACCATATGTATCGAGCTTGAAATAAAATGTAGAACTGAACTCTTGCATTGTTATTCATGGTAAGACAAACGCCATAACTACTGAGATAGTAAGAAGAAAATACACAACGTGAAAAGGAACACAAAGAAGAGAATTACAAAGACTAGACCAACACAGGGCTATTAAATATGTAGCAGAAGAGAGTATGTGTCAGACGTTGGATATGGGGAGTTTTTGGCTAATAGGCTTTCGACATCTAGCCAACGACCCATAGCTTTAGAGGTGTAAATTCTCTCTTCGGATATAACAGACTTCGAACGATTCTTCAATTCTTTAATATACCTGAATAATATAGGTTTATTGTCTAAATTAAAACAATATGAAATTAATAAAATATTATGTAAATGGATTGAACACTATTTAAGTAATTGAAAACAATGTGTAGTTTTAGAAGGTTTCAAACCAACCTTTTTGCATACCGATTCTGGAGTCCCCCAAGGAAGTGTGCTGGGGCCTTTCCCATTTTTAATTTATTTAAATGATATCTCCGATAATATTACTAACAACATAAGACTATTCGCCGATGATACTTCACTTTTTACCATTATTCATAATGATCCTCTAAGTGGCGCGAACTCTATAACTGAAGATCTGAATATTATCTCATCGTGGGCTAAACAATGGTGTGTAACTTTTAACCCCAATAAAACTAAAAATATTATTTTTACTAGGAAAATTACAATCCATCCAGACGTTGTTTTTGAAAATACAAACGTAACTACTCATTGGCATTTGGGATTAACA